ATGTGTGCCTGTCCTTAGACAATTGGGAAAACATAGACTAGGCTTCAGGAACTAGGAATCTGGACATCCGTCTGATGCTGGACCCAGGAAATTGCTTGCACCACATGCTGATATTATGTGGTGACTTGGCATACAACCCAGCCTCCCTGGAGAAAATAACTTTCTCAGCTCTCCCACCTTCTTTTCCTTTCCTTGCATTAATTTATTTTTTGTATTTTGGTCCTACATTTATTTCAGAAATTCAATTTTACCGCTTCAATGACATTTTCACAATAAACCCGTGAAGCAGTTTGCAGTGGTGGGTTTCAAAAATTTTTAGAACCTCTTCTGTAGGTGTGGCCTGCTTTGTGGGAGTGGCTTGCCAGCCATGTGACCAGGTGGGCATGGCCAACTTATAAAATGTGGTGAAACTCACTTAACAACGTTCATGCTTAGCAACCAAAATGTTGGCTCAGAAACGCTGGCATTTGAAGCACGCAAGTCTTAAAGCTGTCAAGTTACAAGACCCTTCCACCCCTCCCCTTTAGAAAAAAAAACCCAGGGATGTTCAAACTTGACAGCTTTAAGACTTGTGGACTTCGACTCCCAGAATTCCTCCTCTCGCTCTTCATCTTGATGATATGAGGACTGGCGGGGGGAGGGAGCTGGAACCGGTTCTAAATGGCACGGTAGATTTGTGGAACCTCTTCTATAGAAGATGCTAGAACTGGCAGAAGCCCACCCCTGACACACACATATGTATGCATGTATACGAAGAAAAAATAGTTAACAGGTTAATCAAGAACAAGGTTAAACTTCAAAGCCCTCTGTTAACAATCTGTTATTAACTCGTAGAACGTCTACAACAGTTTTTTACCTACCATAGAAAACTCTGGCGGCACTGGTTAATTTCATAGAGCCATGGTGGCGCAGTGGGTAGAATGCAGAATTGCAGGCTAACTCATTGCCCACAGCCAGCAGTTCGATTCTGACCGGTTCCAGGTTGCCTCAGCCTCCCATCCTTCCGAGGTGGGTAAAATGAGGACCCAGATTGATGTGGGAAATATGCTGACTCTATAAACCGCTTAGAGAGGGCTGCAAAGCACTAAGAAGCGGTATATAAGTCTAAATGCTAAGTGCTATTGCTCTATCTATCATCTATCTTGGTAGTGCAGTGGTTAGAATGTAGCATTGCAAGCTAACTCTGCTCATTGCCTGCAGTTCGATCCCAACCAGCTTGAGGTTGACTTCCATCCTTCCGAGGTGGTAAAATGAGGACCCAAATTATTGGGGGCAACATGCTGAATCTGTAAACCGCTTTAGAGAGCAGGGTGAGGTGGTATATAAGTCTTAAGTGCTGTTGCTGTTGCTATTCATTCCTCCCAATCTTTGCTTGGAAATGGGGATGAACTGGGACAGTAAGGAGAAGACAGAGGAGCAAAATGAATAACCTCAACATGTTTTAGTGGTTTTAAGTTCCTTGAGCGGAGATTGTCCTATATCCCATCTCCAGCAATTTTGCCTTGGTTACTTCCAGTTTGATTGTGTCCAAACTTAAGACATGTGGAATTCAACTCCCAGAATGCTATTTAGGGAATTCTGGGAGTTGAAGTCCACAGGTGTTAAAGTCGTGAAGATTGGACATCTATGATCTAATGGGAGCTAAGCTGGAGAAAACAACATATGCACTTTTGTAGATAAACTCTACAACAGAGATGTCCAACCTTGGCAAATTTAAGACTTGTGGACTTCAACTTATTTTCCCAAGCACCAGAGGGCAGGACAAGAAACAATGGATGGAAACTAATCAAGCAGAGAAGCAACTTGGAATTAAGGAGAAACTTTCCAACAGGGAGAACAATCAACCAGTGGAACACCTTGCCTTCAGAAGTTGTGGGTGCTACATCACTGGAGGATGGCCAGAAGAAACTGGATGGCCACCTGTCTGAAATGGTGTAGGCCTCCTGCTTGAGCAGGAGGTTGGACTAGAAGACCTCCAAGATCCCTTCCAAAATTGATCGGCTGGCTGAGGAATTCTGGAAGTCAAAATCCACAAGTCTTAAAGTTGCCAAGGTTGGACACCCCCAAACTAAATTGTAGCTTCAAAATCCTTAGGTGCCTATCAGTCTTTCAAGGTAGGTCTAAGATCTGGTCAAATATTAGACAATGACAGGGTTCTAGAGGTGCTGTTTTATTGTTCTGGGCGGATTAAAAGGATTGTGACACCTTATCCAAAATCTTTCCTGCCTCTTTTAAAGAATAGCAACGTTAAGGCCAGGCTGTTCTCCATCCCCTTCCGATGCGCTCCTCTTTCTCAGGTCTAAGCAACCATTTCTTCTCTCCTGCCCCGTTTCTCGATGCCAAAGCAAGGGGTTCATCTTCAAGACCTCCAAAAGCTGTTTCATCTGGGTGGAACATTGCAGAAGTGAAATGCTTAAATACTGCTCATCCTGGACTTAAAACGGTTTGTTTAGTGACCATTTAATGTTACCATAACACTGAAAAAAAGGACTTACGACTTTTCACAGCATCCTCCTTATGGTCACATACGCAAAATTGGGTGCTTCGCATCCAGCCTATATTTATGATGCTCAATGGCAGAAATAGGATCCACTTAACAGCCACATGGTTCACTTAAAAACTGTGGTGGTTCATTTTACGACTGGGTCAAAAAAAATCATAAAAAGGCATGGCTCACTGAACCGCCTTGCTCAGCAATAGAATTTCTGTCCCAATTGAGGTCGTAAGTCAAGGACTACTCATACGATACTGAAGAAGATCAGTGACATATATTTAATACTAGTCCGTGCTTTGCTATGGAACTATGTGATTGGTCTTAATAAATTGACAGTTAAAGATTGAACATTAATGAGTAGTTACGATCAGCCTCTCCTCTTCCCTTCTCTTCCTGAGGCTTGCCCCACAAAAGTCTCTCCTTTCCCCTTCTCTCCCTCAGACTGGCCCCATTGATCCTCTCCAAACTCCCAGCCCACAGGTCAGATGAGTCATGTGTTGGCCATGCCCACAACCAAGTGGCAGTTGGAACAGAGTTCTTTTCAGGTGGGGAGGGCGAGTAGAACATCTAACTCCTTAGCATCAGAGCGTGTTAATAATAATATAAGAAATACTGAGGCTCTGATGGTCATTTTTTAAAAAACCATTTCTTAGTGAGCCCCTAGAAGCCAAGAGGAACATACATGCCAAATTTCAAGGTTGTAGGCTTTATGGTCCTGGAGATTTCATGATGATGCGTGAGTGGTATTTCACTTTTATACAATACACAGACACACACACACACACCATGTATCTATTTTCGTCCACATTTTTTTTGCTTTTGGATACGTCCACCGGGATTGGGCAGCCTTATTTTCAGGGAGGTCTTATTATTTTTGAGGTGCAGGAGGCGGCGAACATGGTCACCTCATGGCTGCTGCTGTGTTGCAATATTTTCNTAGCCTAATCTATGAAAAATCTATGGATGGAAACTGAACAAGGAGAGATTCAACCTGGAAATAGGGAGGAATTTTCTGACAGTGAGAACAGAAGTTGTGGGAGCTTCATCACTGGAGGCTTTCAAGAAGAGACTGGACTGCCATCTGTCAGAAATGGTGTAGGGTCTCCTGCTTGGGTGAGGGGGTTGGACTAGATGACCTGCAAGGTCCCTTCCAACTTGGTTAATCTGTAAATCAGATTAAGGGGAGTACTACTATCCCCCTGCCTCAGGCCCTTCCATTAAATGGAAGTCATGCCAGTTGTACATCACAGTTGGTGAGACAATTCTAGTCTAGACGTCCAGAAGTCCTCATACAGATGGCTGCTGTATTAAGCTTCTTTGTTGAAAATAAATCCTATAAACCTGTTTTATTTCTTCTTGATTTTGATAGATGGTACATTTATATGATGGATGGATGGCATGCCATGGAAGGGCTGTTGATTCTTAGCAACCACATAGCTAGATTTTCCTCCCCGAGTTGATTTTATTACAATGGTTTTATTTAAGATTATATAAAGGCTGTGCTCTTGTAGACAATAAATCTCAGTGACTTCCGGAGAAAGAATGATATAAAAATGAAACAATAACAATAATATCTTGATAACAATTGACAACCATTATTATTATTATAAATAGTACATCACAATTGGATAGGAAGTTTAAAAGTTCTCAAATAGATGGCTGTTGTATTATGTTTCTTTGTTCTAAAGAAATCTTTATCTTTATCTTTATTTGAATCTTGCTGATACTGAATGGATTGATTAATTTGATTTTTTGAATGATTGATTGATTATGTGCCATCAGGTTGGTATTGACTCTTGGTGACCGCATAAATAGATTTTTTTTCATGAGTTGATTTTATTACAATGGTTTTATTTAAAATTACCCGTGCTCTGTTCCTTTAGCCAATAAATCTTGGCTCCCTCAGAAGGTAGAACAATTAAAAAACAACACAATAACAATATCATTAATATGCTATTATGTATTTATAATATACAAGATATATAATTAAAATATTTATAATTAATATCAATAATAAATTGGCCATTATTATTGATATTAATTATACATCTTTTTAATTATATATCTCATGCTACTTTATTAATTATGTCATTAATATTATTATAAATCTTAACATTTTTCTATTTATTTGTGTAATCTATATCTATGGTCCACAAGAATCAACACTGACTTAATGGCATGCAATCAATCTCATTTACCTATGAGTTGCTCCCGATATCTGGCTATAGTCATATTCAACATTTAGTAATTATTTTGTCATTATTAATTTTAGAAATGCCC